TTTTGGACAGGGCTCAGGCCCAGACCAAGCCCCGCTGGACAGACTTGCACTGAGGATACCTTTGACAGAAGATTTCTTCGAGGAGCAAAGCTCAACGTGGCCTCTGTTTGTCTGGTCCAGCAACAGACATGGTTCGAACGCAGAGCTTCTAGGTCGCACAGGACAGTAATGTAGACTGTCGACTGTAGACAAAATACAGTGAATACACTGCTGTGAGTGGAAGACAAATCAAAACCACAGTTTCCAGTTCAGGGGGAACGGAATCGTCTCGTGGCTAGGCTAGGGTTGCATGAGGGACGCCCTGTTGTAGGTGCAGAATATATCCGCCTGTGGTGGCGTGGAGCTTGACATGCCCAAGTGCTACATGACCACATGCTTGTGGATGTGGGATGAGACGGACCGGGCACACGGAAGTAAACTCGAACGAACCACTAACTTGGCTAGCTTGACTCGAGGACTCGATCCAACTGACTGACTCCTTGATTAGATGAGACGGTCACCTGGTCTTTTTCAACTGTCATCAAACGCACTGTTTGCAGGAGCAGCTGGCTTCGTTCACAAGCACGGAACGTGGCGGTTCACTCCTTGGCATGCTGTTGAAAGGGTTGCCGTTGACAAAGGCCCGACACTTGACTGCTGACTGACTGCTGTACTTGATGGGGCGGTGACAGTGGCAGCGGCAGTGGCTTGTCGCCGCGTTCCTTGCTAGGAAAGCGCGGGCTGCGAACTTGTCCAACATTGTGATGCAAGGGGCCCAGAAGCGTCGTTTGAATCTGAATCCTGAATTCATGAACCTTTTTTTGGTGGAAGAGTGGCTTCCCACACTAGGTCTACCATGGTGCAATATGGTGAATTGAGCGCTCAGCCCTTAGATTAGATCCAAATGCTCACTCTTAGATGTTCTGTTGGTTGTTGGCTGCTGGGCTAGTGGCGGGTAACTAGACCATGCCGCTGGTTGACAAACACTTACTGACTTTTAGTTTAGTTTTAGTTTTGTTTTTCCGATGTGATTTGATTTTTGGACTTGGACAAAGGCCATGGACCTCGATGCCCATGACTGGGGAACGCCTCTCTTGTTCAAGGACTGCCCCGCCCTCATGAAGCTTTGGGAAGTCTTTGAGTTCAGACATCTGCTGGGACTGCAGGAGCCTGTGATAGCGCCACCAATACATTTGTTGCGAATGACGGCAGCAACATTGAAATCTGGAATTGGCCGGTGGAAACCGGTTTCAGTCAGTGGCAGGCCACGGCCTAATCACCAACCAACCAACCCCATCCTGTGTTGGCCACTTGATGCCATTGCCAGGTGCCCGTTGAAAGACGGGGCCACCTTCCATCTGGACATTCTGGTCGCTGACGGGGCGCCGTCCAACAACATGTTGAAGAAGGCTGAGGCTGCCCTTTGGCAAAAATCATAGAACAACAAGACAGGACAGCAACGCAAGACACCGACGCACTGATCCGAGTGCCAATCGACAAAACAGGAGTCACAGTCAGAGTCACTAGAGCCACACTGCTGCACTAGCCCCGCAGCCCAGGTGCGTGCCGACAGGCTGAGTATAGGCAACGCCGATGGCAGCGCTGGGACAACCAATTTGGTGTGGTGCTCAGTGCGAGTTCAAACTTTTAAGTTCATTTCAAAAGAATGAGCTAGGAGCTAGCAAGTTGCGGAGGTCCTAGACTGCGTATGTCAATGTCACTGTGTGCATCTTTGCAATTCAGATCAAGTGTACCGCCTGGACTGGATTGACCGGGTCGGGTCGGGTGTTGTTTTGTGGCTGCCTTGAGTGACTCTTGTCTTGACTGACTGACTGACTTTTTCCCGCTTCAGATCTGGTAACTGTTAGCTGTTAGCTGGTTAGCTGGTATCCCTCCTGTCCTCCTCTCCTCTCCTTTCCAGGACTTGCCCTTGGATTGGATGCCCCGGCCCAAGCCAGAGCCAGACAGTTCGAAACCAAAAGCAGGGGGAAAGAGCAAAGCCAAGGCCAAGACCAAGGCACCAGCATCAGAAGTGAAACCGACACCAGCTCCGAAGAACCAGGCAAAGGCAGCAAAGAATAGCAATGCTACATTTCTCACCAACCTGGTCCGCTGTGGAAACCAAATGTCCAATGTCTCAACATGGAACATCCTCAAGCGAACCATCAAAGAACTAATTCGTAGCACCTTGGCAAAGAGTCTGGTCCCGTGTTGCCGGGTCAAAACCAGTTCAGTTTAGCTTAGTTAGCCAAATCAGGCTCGGCTAGGCTAAGACTAAGCCTAAGCCTAAGCGTCTTCCAGACTTCCATGTATGTTCCAGTTTCAGTTGCATTGTTGTTGCATGCGTTGCTGTTGACACCATTGGACATTGGACCATTGGATTGATGAATGGTCAGAGTCAGAGTCAGAAATCTACTGTAAGTCAGATGACGTTCCTTCAGTCGGGGTTTCCAAACTTGATCACTGGAACGCACAGAACTGGAACCATTTTTTGGGGGGGCATCACGGCATCACATAAACCTCCGCAGCCTCCGCAACTGAGCCAACCCAGGCAGAATTTGCCTCAAGCTGGTGCCAGATGTTGATCAGCAAGTGAGAGATGCGCGCAAACGTCAGAACATCCACACTCTCCAGACATTGGGAAAGTGGCCCGCTGCCGCTGCTAATGGGAAGAAATCGGCAGTCCTGGAATCTGCTGAAGAGCTCATTGTGTTTCTTGGTGATAGTTGTAGTCGTAGTCCTCTCCAGACTCCAGCCTCCCCTTCTGGCCTAGGCTTGTGGGTGAGTCAGACTGGTCCTCGCAAACAATCACAGTCTTCTGGGAAGCTGATGGTCTCCCTGCAGCGGAGAATGTTATTTTGGACACGCTGGCCAATCATGTGACTGTCCTTTGCGAGCACCTTTTCCTAAGTGCCAAACCGCCTCGACCCACTCAAAGCAGATGGACTGGAGTACCAGCAGTGAGTCAATGGTGTTTGTGCTTTCAGCTGTTTCATCAAATGCTTGGGCCCATGCTACAATCCTTGTCAAATCAGAAGGATTCAGAAGGTTCCTTGCAGCAAACACAGCCATTGCTGGACAACGATGCCAGAGTCTCAGGGAAACTTAAACTTAGACTGGGACTCAAACCATTACTGTAACCGTTAACCGTTAACCGTTAACCCAACCTGGCAGCCCGTTCAATCAGCGGCTTGGTTAGGTCCAAACGTCGGACGCAGATGCTTTTCGCGCCCAGCAACAAACAAGTCGGAGTATGCTTGGCAAATGGTGTGGTCCTCAGAATCAGCGCAAATTGGCCTTGTCACATGGAGTTCCTGTGCCTTCACTCCCTGCTCAGGGCCACTGATGCTACAACCGGCCTCAAGCTGTTTTTGACGTTGGTGGCAAACCAGCCAGTACGACGGCTTTTGTTCTACATCCTCAAACATGAGTCAGTTGCCAAGACTGTAGCTGTACTGTAGAACAACAAACCGGCCACAAAGTGATTTGCTGATTTGCTTGTTTTGTTCGGATTTGCATTTAGTGAGGTCCAAGAAAGCATTCCAGGCGGACCTCAAGCAACTTTGTGAGCAGTATTTGTTCAACCTGGAGAGCTTGAGCCTCGGTTTCTTTTTTCAGCCAGCCTTTGCAACTCTTAGTCAAAAGCCACACACACATGACACATGGCGCACACACACTAGGCTTGGAGCTGGAAGAGGATGAAGTGGCACAGTCTATGCACGGGTTTTCGACATGGTGTTCTGGGGAGCTTACTCAAAGCTCTTTGGATGATCTTGCTGCCCACTTGGGCAACCCAGAGCTTCTGGAAGAGCTCATTCAGAAGTGTTTTGGCAGACGTTAGGCGCATGTAACATAGTCACATCAATTTCATTTGATTCATCAGATCATCAGAGTCTGATCTGCTGCAGCTGCAGCTGCGGCCAGTTTCCTCTTTGTTTGAGGTTTGGGCCTTCTACCATGAATTCCCTGTCTGTTGGACAGATTTGCACAATGACACGGAGATTCTTGCTGGCAGGCAGGTGTTGAGAGTTCTCAGATCAGCGCATTGCCAAACAAAGAGAGGAATACGGAATACAGAATATCGGAATGCCGTACCGTAACCCCGAAACTCGTCCGACAACTGGTCAGGTGCTTCAAGTGTTTGGTACAGGCGGGCCTGCAAAGTGTAACAATGACCTAGCCTAGCCGTATACAAGGCGAATGCAATGTGACATGTGGCATGCATGCACTTCATGTGCGCGTCGCGGTATTGTTTTGGTGAGAGTCATGGCGTGCGCAGGTTGCACCATCCGCTGAAAAAGAATTTTGCTTTGATCTGGGGTTTGGGTATGATCTGGGGTTTGGGCCTTCTGTCTGCAGAGAGAAGATTCTTCAGCTTTGCTATGCTCTGGATTGTGAGAAAACTTGCAACCTTATCAGCTTTGCTTTGAAGTTGAACTGTGAGAAGAGTTTTCGGACCTGCTATGCTGTATCTTGAGGGAAATGGGCTAGAAGTTTCCCGAGCACTTATGGACAACAATATTGATTTTGTCCTTGAAGGTCACGGTGTACATGGCTGATAACTTGCGCAAACTGGCTCTTATTGTGTTGTAAAGTAGTATGTATGTTGCCTGTGTTTTCACATCACGTCAGAGGCAAAACTTTGCCGTGCACAGAAACACTTTCATCAGAACTCATACTTTGCACGTAGCACTCGCCCCGAAGGTCAAGTAGCAAGGGTCACAGTTATTGTAGACTCTCCCCCGTTTCAATATTTTGTGGGCTAACAAACAACACGTGAGTTTCCCAAAAACATACTGCCAACCGCAACTCGGAAATTTCACAGATTAGTTGTCACCTGTTTGTCGTTTAAATTTTGTTTCCTAACAAATGTTATTATGCACAATAACGTCGGAAACCCAAAACCCAAACACGTCGCCGTTTTTACGCTTTGCCCCACAAAGCGCACCGAAAATCTGATGCGCAGAATGCGTCGTCAGACGATCCTTCATTTTTCCGCGCTGAACTGCAAGCTTCCGGTTTCAGTCGACTTCCTTGATTTCAGGGTCGTGCTCCGGAGCCTCTTCCTCCACATTCTCTTGGTCAGGCTCCGCGATTTCATCGCTCGCGTGAACTAGGCTGGCGGCTGATGCCTCGCCCCCATCAACTGCCGCGTCATTCGGAATCGGCGACGCCTCAGGCTCAGCCTCAGGCTTTGCCGGCTCAGGCTTACCTTGGCTGGCGTTTACAAACTTCAGCGCGTCGTAGCGCGCGCAAACAAAGTCAAAAATAAGGTTTCGGCCATTCTGGGGTCCTTTCCCTTCCGATTCCACAGGAGGCGTTTCCTTGCTCTCGAGTTTGGGAAGCGCTGCCATCAGGGCTGCCTCAAAAATGTCGAGCACAGCGTGGGATAAGGTAGGAAACACCACGGTTTTCACACGGTTGACAGAATCGTTCAACATCACTTACCCGAATGAAATGTACAAATTGTTTGGTAATGTCTGAAGTCGCGCGCGTCAACCAAATTTTAAACGACCGTTTTACACACTAGTTTTCTGCAGCGTGGACTGATTGAACAGCACGCCTGGCAAATCATTCAACACCTCTTTCAAAAATAACTGACGGGCCCCGTGTCCATGTTTTCAATATCTTTCAAACGATATTTTTAATCACCACGGTACACGTGATTTAGGCCAGCTAGTCCGCAAGAACTTCCAGGCAGCGAGACTGATGAGCGGCCACAACACAATGCAACTAATCAATGGACAGGCAAGGCACCGCAATCTCTTTTACCTCTTCCTTTGTTTGCCCCTTCAGGAAATGCTCTCGGGCAATGACCTTAACAAAAATGAAAATGCCCTTGAGAAACGCGTCGCGACTCAAAAATCATGCCACAACATGAACATGACAGGCGCAACATCAACCTAGCGGCGCAAATCTCGCGGGTCTTCTCCCGGCTGTGGTACCACGAACCCACCTTAAAAATCTCCATCAACGCCATCAACCTTTTCCTTTGTTTATTGGACAATAAGTTCGAACCAAGCAACGGAAAAAATCTGATGACCTCCGGGAACCTTCAAAGCCCAGGTGTTCTGCTTCTTGTAGGGGAACGGCTCCGAAACCTTCGCGAACGTCTCACCTGAAAAGAAACCGCTACAGTTACAATCCGGTCCTGGTGTGCAAGAACACTACTGCAGCCACCTGCAGGCCGCTTCATTTTCTTGTTCCCGGGCTCCTCCGTCTTTGACGCCGCTGGACGCTTCATTGCTGCTGCCTTCCCAATGAATGAAACACAAGCTCCTTTTGACGAGCATAAAACCAACAGGACCGCCAAGAATGATAGCAATGGCCAGCAACCACCACCACCACACTGGGAAGGAAAAGGAACAACACCAAACACTTCAACACCAGTGGCAAGACCGACAACGAGGACAACCGGAACAAACACCCGATTTCAAAAATATCTGCTCCCACCCATCCACGCTACCATATGGCCTTCGTCTTGCCTTGCGAGGGCTTTTCTTCCTCCGGCGCTGGCGCAGACTCAGACTTGAGCTCTTCAGGTGCAGGTTCGCCGCCCGGACTGGATGGCTTCGCAACCTTCTTCTTTGGCAAAGACTTCGCCTTTGTCTTTGGAGTAGGCTTCAACTTCGGTTTCGGGGCTGGGGCTGGTCCCTCGTCCTCTGACCCTGACAACTGCTGAATCGGCGGCAAGACCGACATAACGCGCCGCAGGACTCACCCGGGTGGCGCTAATCACTACAGTACAGTACAGCGACCGACCTGCATTGCACCAAAATGACAAGCGGGAGATGTGCTGGCGCATTCAGCTCCCGTGAAAGGAACTTGAAAGTAGACTTTGTAACCTCTTCAGAACACCTTTTGAAGACGTGTCTCGGAACTGCCAGCTTGAGTTTGAAGCCCTTTTGGGCGGTGGAGTTAAAAGTAAGCACTGCGCCGGGCTTATAGCAGCCAGATTCAGGACATAGACATGCCCGTGCAGCTTGGCAAAAACAACACCCACCGACCAAAGATCATTGTTGAATTTCTGAAGCTGCGGAACACAAACAAAACAGCACGCGTCGTGGGACATCAAACACCTTGAAAACTTACCAGGTGTTGCTTCACATTCTGCTATATCGCGCGCTGCTCAACGGCACCAAAAGTGAGCACGCGCAGCAAAATTGGTGGCCCCCTCAAGAAAGCTTGGCCCAGGAAGCAGGTTCCAAGACAAGGGTAGCAGTGAAAAACATCTTGGGCTTGACGGGCATAATCTTCGTTCCCTCCAAAGTAACCTGCGCCGCGCAACAAGCCATGCGTATATTATGGTTTCAACACTTGGGAACTATTGTCGTTTGCTGACAGAGCGCACCATGCCTCCCAAAGGACATCCACGAGCTTGGACTGCGGCAACGTGTCGAACTTGGACATATATAGCGCACCGGCTGTCGCCTGCTTCGCATCCCCTTGCAGGCTGTTGGGCCTAAACACATTGGTCCTGTTGCCCTTCACTGCGGTCACGGAGTACCGGAATGGGACTGGTACCTGCTCTCCATCATCACTGTCCTCAGCCAGGCGCTTCAAAAAACAAAACAATGATTTGCAAGTGGGTCAAGCTGCTTTCAATCATCCATGGTGAAACACGTATATAACCAGCGTTTCAAAAAAAGATGCTTCTAGACTGTGTGGCAAAAAGGCAAGTACAGGGAGCTAGGTCAAATTGGGCGGGTGCACTTGGTTTGCTTGGGCCCAATTCTTTGGCGCAAAAACTCTATTCTTAAACTGCGGTGTCACCTGCACCGTCATGTTGGTTGTCAAGAATCGGGAGCTTGAAGTCTGGGGGATACCTCGTGGCTGAAGATACTCACTTCGCCAAGGCCTTGGCTTGTGGCGAGCTGGTGAAAGTACTTGCACACTGGGATGATGCGCTTCTGCACCACAATGAAATCCAAATCTGACGCCAACCGCCACGGGATTCCTGCACTGTCCCTCTTGTTGGCAGCGATCTTCATCTCGAAGTTTCCCGTGTTGAAGCCAAACCTTGCACTGTAGGTCTAACTTTGGCAACACGATGAACACGATAAATAAAACTCTGCACTATGTGGGGTTGCAGTTGCGCCTTCAAATCTAACAGAATAATTGCGGCAGGTAGCAGCTCTGTGCCTGACATGGTGAGAGAAGTGCTCCCCTCGTTACCGGCCCAAATGTCCATGTTTTTGTCGATAACCAAGGTTGGCCTTCCATGTTTTCCCGGGATCGTGCAAGTCCTGGGCGCTCCAAAAGAAGACCACCACGACACCGCCGCAAGAACATGAAATATAGTGAAATATATAACAACAAAACATGACCCACAGAAAAATGATCTCAACCCCAGAACAATTGGCAACCACTGTCCTGTCAGCTGGCTCTGGCGGAGATGGCAGGTACGAAAGCTCCACGACACGCTCCACCGACAAAGGCTCCTTGCCGTCATCAATGCTGAAATCGCACTCACCACTGGCGCGGGGCACCGTTCCTGGGGTGGTAACAGCACCACCATCGCGACCAGCGCTTGCTGGAAACTCTCGCTGGAAGGCTTCCTTGATCTCACAAAGCTTCTTGTGCTGGGCCGATCCAGGAGCAAACTTGCCCATCACATGGTCTGGAAAACCCGGACGCCCAGCCGAATCGCAGCTCAGCAATTGCAAACCACTCACATTGATGCGTGACTCGGCTCTCGCGCGCGTTTTGGGTGGGCTGCTCGGAAGGGAATCCCAGTGTGTGAATACAGTGGACTCGATTGAGGCGATGACATCTTTTTGGTGCTCCCGAAGGAAGCCAACATATGCCAGTTGCGGCTCCTCGCCCTTAAGACTGTGGTCCACACAAGCGGAAGCAAATTCTGCATACCTGCAAGGGTATTCTTGTGTAATTCTGATAAATCAACAGGGCAGCCTTTATTAATGTCTTTTCCCTATGGGGGCAAACAAAGACTCAAAAATTTGAAAACCAATCACGATTGAATTTGCCGCCTGTTGGGGCCAATGTCCAGCCAAACCACAAGGTCAGACCTCTCAAATGGCATTCCTTTGAAGAAATCGCTCAAGATCTCCTTGTGGCACTGAACACCTTTCCTGACGCTGCGTCAACGCAATGAATTGAATGGTTTGATTTAGCTTTGTTCGTATTTTCCCTGACCACCATACCTTCATTGCCTTCCCCTACTCTTCGATTGTCAACGTTGAAACCTTGGGCTATTAGCAAAAGAGCTTGCGAACAAGGCTCTGCTCCGCACGAGCAGCCGCACCTGGCTTTGAATCGGCATCGTAGCCCCTCATGTCAGCCACGTTGCACCGAGAGCAAGGGCCAAAGATCGCTCCCTGCAAGACCGGCGAACTCTCCAACCAACGGTTGTTCTTGCCATACGCGCACAGCAACACTGGCTGGGATGCTGGCCGCTTGTCTGTGCTTGCCCGGGTAGATTCCTTCGTGAACATGATGGTCATGTGAGAGCTAAAATCCATATCAGCCTTCAAAAGCGCATCTTCTATGAGCCTCTTCCTCTTCCCAAGCGCGGCCATGGATGTTTGCGCTTGAAAAACTGGCATCTGGATGTAGCCGATACAAGTGCTCCCTGTGCTGCACACGCTGGTCATCATCTGGATCATATCGGCCATAGCGTCATTGACGGACCAGACCGTCGCATCGATTGCTGCAACAATCCACCTCGAATTGATTTCAGGGGAGCACACTGCACCAATCATCTAAGGCGGCCATATCGTTAACAGTGATTTCATAATGGGAAAAACGACAGCGGCGCCCAACCAAAAAAGGAGAGCCAAACAACAAATGTCAACCAATTCGGATGAGACACACTGTGCCTTCGACTTGCTTGTCGGACATGAAGCGGTTGAAATCTGGCAGCGTGGCCGACACTTTGTCGTGGGGTCCGACAACGGCGAGGCGGCAATTGGCCTCCATCCAAGTCTTCGTGAAGTCTTCGCCCCGCCTTGGCCAGCCATCTCACAGGGTTGGGACTAGAACGGAGCAACAAACACAATACAAACCGTGTACAATATACGGGGCTCTAAAAACACCATGGGCTGGCGAATCCCCTAAACCACTAAATAGCAGGACCACTTAAACTACAAACGACAGCAAAGCTTTGCACGCACGCTAAGGTTCCGCTGACGGTTTTTCACATATTTCATGTCCAAGGCGACCTCCTTGTTTGCATCAGCTTTTGTGGGAAGCTGCGAACGGATGAGCGCGATGTCCGTCTCAATCTGATTGGACAGTTGCTCGAAGGTTGCATTGGCGAGCTTTTCAGCCAGCTCTTTTGCTCTCTCTTCGGTCTCAATGGCAATCCTTGTCTCATAGCTCTTGACCTTGTCCCTGCGCAGCCGGTGCTCATGTCAATCAAATGAGGTTCCTTTTGAAACCTGTAGTGAACCCCTTTCAAATACTTTTCAAACACAGCCCCACTCCCGCTTCGAAGCCTGAAGGCTCCAATCGCTGTGATGTCGCCCGGCGGGACAGCCGTCTCAGCGATGTGGGTAAGCTCAGCATCCATCAAGCCAGACATGAAGGTGGCTCTGAGCTGTTTCTCAAAATCTGGAAACTCACCCGCCGGCGCTTTTTGGTGAAGCAGCTCAAGGAAATGGAGGAACAAACCACAACAGGCGTGTAGCTTGACCCCCTCCTTGTACCCCAAAGCTTTGCGCATCCTCTCCGCACTGTTGTCCCAGTCATGACATATACGTTCCAAAAAGAATTTCACCTTGCAAGGCTAGCGGCATTGCGATCAGCAAAACCTCTGGGAAGCACATACCAAGTAAAACTTAGGACTGGCCGTTTGTGAACAATTGCTAGAAGAAGCCCTTAAATTTAAAGTGCTTCTGGTCGATTGCGAAATCATTGGGCTGATCAGAAAAGGCCTTTCAACCCAAGTCACCAAGACCTTGTCGTCACCATTGGTCATGGCTGGCACCCAAGACTCCATTGGCCCCTGCGCGCTAGTCCAGCCCTGGTTGAAAGCGCCAAGGCCAATCAAATCATGGGTCATAAAATGTTGAAGACCTCGTTTGGCTACAGCTTCACGCAGCATCACCATCAACTCCTTGTCCACCCGTGTGTACAAGTTGGACATTGCCCGGGCCTCTGCTCTACCAATAGTAAAGGCCTTCGCAACCGCAGCGACGTTCTCCCACTCCTCACTCACTTATCAATGAATAGCCTTCACAGTAAATCTGAACAACCTGGGAATTCGCTAGCAAGCATTAGGGTCTCGTTCCTTGGCCCATAGCCCCGTCCACGGTCAACACTCAGCCTTCCACGTTCTGGTCCAAAAATCACTGAAAGTTAGAATCTTAGAATCACGACCTATGAAACCAAACGTCCTTCAGCTGCTGCTCTGAATTTCCTTGTCCACACCGCTGTAGGATGTCCGCCTGTCGCATCAAATGAAAGGCGTTGGGCGCCCTCCTGGTAGAAGTTGAGGACAACGTGATTCCCCGATGCGCGAAGACTTGCTCTTTGATGGTCCCAAATTGCCCCACCACACAGCATATCGTCCGCGCTGACGTCTGCAGGGTGATGAAGAAATCACCCGAACCCTGAACTAAATAAAAAGAAAATGTTCGCAAGAAATTCACATCGCCTGCGGGCATCTCCCTGTCTCTCCCTCACATATCTATGTCTATATATCTATATACATTGTTTGTGTTTGTGAATACACAAACATATCAAATATAGAATATGTATATTATATACATATACACGCGTAACTTAACACATTGTGTCATATAACAATTATATATATATATATATTTGTGTCTGTCTTCCTTCAAACCGAAAGCCTTGAAATTGCTTGGCACATCGCTCATGTCCACATTCAGCGCGCGCAGAGCGGCGCACACGGCAAGGAAGGCCGTGCAACGTCGCCACCCTTTCACATACCCGATGCTGAACGGCGCCAACAGATCACCTCACAATGCGCCAACGCGATGAACGGGGAATTTATCCAATGTTCCATTTTGTTTGGCCAAAAGCGCGTGACAGTCACACTGCAAGACATGTTAGCCAAGCAATATGGCAAAGGCTCTCAACTTTACAGACCTAGGGCGCACACTATCTGCTTCAGGAAGTTTCTTCAGCTCAACGTAATTGGAATTCAGGATGTTGACGTCCGGTTTCATGATCGATACACGCTCCACACCAGGCAGGACATCTGCGTCGGTCCGAAACCTAGTCAATCCGTTGTTGTACTTTAACACAAAGGATTCGTTCCACGTAGAGATGAGACGACTGAACCAAAATTAGCCAAGCACCCCCTTCAAAACTAACAACAACGCATGGTTCATTCTATACTTGAGGCACCCTTCCACCAGTATGAGCTGCATGAGCATCTCCAAGTCCTCTGGCTCTGCAACGCTGGAGAAGGCGAAGTCGCTCCGGAAGCCTAGCTGGTATGGCCGGACCTTGCAAGGGCCAGGCGTGAAGTCGGTCGCATAGCGGCACCTCGCTCAGTCTTCGATTGAAAGGTGAAGATCCACGAGAAAACGTCTAGAGCCTCAACATATGGCAATATGTTTGAAAACTGTATGGCAATATGTTTGAAACATGTCTGACACCGGGTGGCCAAAGCACCTCTGAACATTCTGCTCCGGAAAGCTGGTGTTCAACCACGACGCAAACTGCAACAAATGATCCTGCCGACACAGTGAACGCAAAGAGGTTCAGCCTCTTGGGCTCTCACTTGTGAACATCAACGCGCTTGCTTTCAAACTTACTTCAACTTGCCTCCGTTGGGTGCGTCTCCAGCACCCACTTCTCAAACCCACCTCTGGGGACAATCTCCTTCTGAAACCTCACTCCGAGCAAAAGAAGCAAGCAGTCAGCGCGAAGCAATCACTTGCACAAAATGATCTTGACATGGGTTTTCCAACATTCACCTTGGTGCGTGTCAAATAACCAAGCAATCACTTCTTCAACGAGTGGGCAGGTTGCTGCCGCGCCGATCTTCGAGCTCTTGGCCTTCGCAGTGGCAGCAGCATCGCCGCCGCCGGATTTGCGCTTGGCTGGCGGCATCGCCAGGGTCACGCCGCGGTCTTTGACTCGTCAAATGGTCTAGGGACCACCAAAGTATAAGTCACGCAAGCATCCAAGTAGAAAAGCCAAAGAGTCTAGATTGGCAACCCTCGAACACTCATCTGTTTTCCAAAACGTGCAGCGTGTTAATCTTTGTGAGAACAAAATTGCCACACCCACACACACACTTAGTAGGCGGCAACAAAACTTGAACTTTCGCAAGGTAAAGCCGGAAAGTTTCACACTCTTCGGCTCTAGCTCTAGCCCTGCAGAATCAGGCCAGAGGAGACCTCAGCGCAAGGACAGAACGGTTGCAAGCGCAACATGGTTAGGATTTGGGAACTCCGGAGAGCAAGGCTGCTCTGTCATGCTTGCCTCAAAAACAATGGAACTTGTCAAACGGGCGGCAATGAAAGCGGCTAGCGTTGTCTTAGTCTTATCATTTGCCTTTTTTGAAGTCTCTGGTCAAAAGAAAACACAGAAGAAGGGCGCCGTGACCACATTGGCAAACAGGTAGACAAGGGAATAGTAATAGATAAAATTAAGACAACTGTGCTACCGTAGGTTCTCCCCGTCACTGTGCTTTAAAGAGCGGTACCCGGTAGCCGTTTTTCGATCAAAGCGTTGGTCTCCCCCGCCACCCTTTCAAAGACTTTCCAGAGGATTTTGGCTGGTACAGACTTGCAGCCCACATGGACTTTGGGGCTCTGTTTTGGGATGGCTACCAACTTGAAATGACCTAATTTAGGCCCTGTTGCCAAGTTCGTCCCAGAAAAATTGTAGTTGTAAAAACCCTGACACGGCGGGCGTCAATGACATTGGAGAGCCGCCACATGACCACGAAAAATCTGAAGTGTCGGATCTCAACAACATTTCAAAACAGGTGAAAATTGATATAGGTTTGTTTGTTGGTTAGCTGAACACGCACACTGACAATCTGAAGTGTCGGATGCGACTGACATTGGACACTTCAGCTGAATCAACATGGACA